CTAACTACATATCAGTGTTCGTATGGGATAGTAGCTTATGTCGAAAGGCTGGCTTTAGTGTAATGCGGCATTCGCAGCATACGATTGCGAATGATTCACTGGCGCCGAGCCGTTGAAGAACTTTTGGCAAATAAACGTGCAAGAAATAGTTCCGCTACTAGCAAGTCAATATTCCTATTAAGTCTCATCAAAAAGTCCTTGTTATTTAAAGAATAAAGGGAACGCCGCATTATACTAAAGCTAGCCAACAACTGTGCCAAGTTTGGGAGAAATTGGTGGAGCGGTTACCAAGTCATACACATGTAATCATAAGTGGGCGTGGCTACGCACATTTTCCAAAAATTTATAATATTCTTATTTTTCATTATTTTTGTTATTTATGGCCTTATAATAATTATATTCAACAATTGTATTGAGCTAGAGGCCGTTTTTAATGAAAATTTTTGTGAAAAAACTACAATCTCCACATCAGACTTCTTCAACTGGGGTTCGATCCACCGACCCCAGCCGCCATAGCCAGCAGTCTACCCATTGAACTAAGTACGTAACTGTAACCACGTAAACTGTTGTTGCCTTTTCCAATTTTTCATTTGTTAAGCAATCTACAACAAAGCGCAGCTATTCGAATGCTATTTAAACTTGATTATGTGGTTGTTGTTTTTGCTAATAATTCTATTTTTAGAAGGTTTAACTTTTAGGTGTGCTCGTCCTTAACTAATTTATTTTCGGTATTTATGGCCTTATGACAATTATATTCAACATATAACATATATATTGAGCTTGGGACCGTTTTTAATGAAAATTTTTGTGAAAACCTGGAAAGAAATAGTGCCGTCAAAGGATCGAGTCATTACCTCGGGAGCATTCGTCGAAGTAGCTGGACGACTCAGTTGCAAATCACGAAGCCGACCCTCCAATTCTTCTACCTTAGCCTCGACTTTATCCTGTCTATCCTTGATTTGTTCTAGCCAAATTCTCCTGCAGTTTAGTAATCTTTGCATCGAGCTTGTAGCTGTGACGAAATATCTGACGACAACTGCGACATCTGTGCCATGATACAAAAAAGAAGGTAGTTTCATTACTACTATTTTTTCATTATAAAGCAGATTTTTGACATTTCTCCAGATGTAAACATTAAGCATAACTTTGCCACATTGAAATTTTTTGAGAGTGGAGATTTTCTTTTAAATATTTGGAATTTAATAAAAGAGTAAATTTACATAAAAAAATATCAAGTTGATGTGTTCGATAATCAAATTTGAACGTCTTTCTCAAGCGTTTAAAAGATGCTTTGAATAATATCGATGTGCAGAGATGAAGAAATAAAATAAAATTCAGTTGTGAAACATTTATAATAACTAATTTTATTAAAAAACTTTTTTTATTTTATTTGAAATAAAATCAATGTATTTAAATAACAAAACTGTTAGATATTTCGTCATTAAAGCATGGCCCGAAACCAGACTTCGCAGAAGGGTTAATGGAGCCAAAATTCAGAATTCTCCTGAAGTGAAGTATCTAGAAGTAATTCTGTATACAAAACTATCGTGGAAATCTGTCGCGGAACACAAAACTTCTAAAGAATTGGCAGCATTTTGGCAATGTAAACAGGTTTTCGTCAAAACGTGAGGTGTGTCACCATAGGTAATCCTCTGGATTTATACCTCAGACCCATAATTGGCTATGCATCAGTGGTATGGTGGAGCAGATTCTCAATGAAGAGCGTGGGAAGTATGCTTGCAAAACTTCAAAGAACTACTGCCGTGTGGCGCTGCTCTGGATGCACTGCTGCACTTACCTTCACTCATAAGTAGGGAAGCCTTAAAAGCCACTTGCAGACTAAAAAGAAACGGATGCCGGTATAACACTAAGTGCGGCGAGGCGGAAATTGCTAGCGGCAGTGATCTGAGCACTTGTGTCTTTTCAATGCCACATGATAGTACGCCACCACTACCTTTGTTTTAGGGATTCTATAACGTTGAGTTCCCTGAGGCTGAATGCTGGTTTAATACCAGCACTGAGCCCGGACTCACACGTAATCGAATCTTTACTGATGGCTCCAAAACTGATTCTGTGTCAGGATATGGGGTCTTCCAGGCTGAGGTATTTGCAATCCTCAAGGCCGGGGAGTACGTGGTGGAAAATAGGTGGAGGGGAATGAGTTTACATGTCTGCGGTGACAGACAAGCTGCACTTAAGGCATTGGGCTACCCTCTAACTACTTACTTCCAAACTCTGGTTGCCAGTTCAATCGGGAGTACCTCCTATCGTCCATAACTATATTATTTTCATATCATGAAGCACCGAAATTCAAGCCTTATTGGGGCTAACGTTTGTAAAGCACATCCAAATCATTTTCAGTGATTGGCTTTAGAATAAATTAATTTAATAATAACTAATTTTTGCGGTGGACAACATATTTAGCGGTCTTTTGTTTTAAAGAAAAAGTTGGTTGGTTGTTTTTCAAATATGGCGATGTATGAATTTCCATTTTCGTTATTGCTCAGATCGAAGTCAAATTTCCTTTTAATTTTGTAAATAATTTTTTCACAATAAATAAATGATTATTGAGGACTAGGTATGGCAGCACGAAATCTCACAATCTGCTTAATTGTCAGGTAGTTAACATGGCGTCCGAAAAGTGACAATGAAACTACCTTCTTTTGTGTATCATCCTCTGTGCTTCCATCTGTGTTTGCATCTGTGATGACAGCTGTGACAGTGGTCTGAAACTATCGATGGGTTTTGACTATCGTGACACCATCGATTATTTTAAATACTATCGATAGTTTTGGTTATTACATCTTACATTATTGTTTTATTGTTTATTGTCACTTTGCATGCGCATTTGATAAAGCACCTTTTAATAAAAGATATTTCGGCGGCGTACATTTACCAGCACTTTCCTGTTTCACCGGGTGTTTTGATAAGTGAAAAATATTGATAGGTTAGTGGAGAGATTTTAAAAAACTAAATATCTGACACTGAATGACGTATAATAACTGATACTGAATGATAACATATGTGATATTGAATAAAGTAAAGTAACTGATATTGAATGAAGTAAATAGCTCTAAAAAAATAGAATTATTTTAATAAGCAACGACTCCTTCTGATTCGTATGAAGTTTTGCTTTGCTTTAATCATGCAAAATATTTTAATGAAAGTTTTGAAAAGTTATTTAAGAAAATGCCTATAGGCAGTTTTTTCATCCTGTAAAATTTCTAAAAATGGACTCAGCAAACTTTCACCCTAAGCTTGCGGTTTACTGATTTTGAAAGAAATATTTTATACAAATATGCCAGGCGCAATATGAAGCCATGTTGTATGTTTAAAAGAATATCGAAACTATCGATAGTTATCTATGGATTCTAAAGAACTATCGCATGCTATTGATAGTGCCGACTATCGATAGTTTCAGACCACACCACCAAGCTGTGATGACATCTGTGAAATGGCAGCCATTAACGTGTTCATATCCATAGCTGTTGATGAACTGGGAGCCTGTTGCCGTTCCTTCGACGAACAAAAAGCCGTATCCTTCTGTTCGTCCTTCGTAGATGTCGCGTCGTCCACACGATGGAAGTCGTATTTGACAACGTTAATGCCTTCCTTTTCCATACCCTCTCGCAGCCGTGATAGTAACTCTAGTTTTCTTTCGGAAGTTGATAAATTTCGCTTTTCCAACTCCGGTTTGAGTTCCTCGATCTTTAGGTCTTGAATTTTTGCCATTTTCATGGCTATGGACTTTAGATATTTAACAAATCCACTTCTGACACTAATTCTTACGATTACCTTTGTATACTCGACAGATTTCTCCACGATGTAGCGAATTGAAGGTACCGCATTCCGCAAAGCGCTTTTAGTTTTGCAGATTTTTACAGGTCTCGGTTTATAGTAAACAACGCCTCAAAAACTTTAAATGCACTGAAATTCATTATATTTTCACTAAAACCACCGCTTTTTCAGATTTCTTTTATTTATTTTTATTACAAATCATATATTTTAACAAATTTAAAACAATTTAAACAAGTTCCTATCGAAAAATGGAATATTAAGATAATTGAATAATCTCACATTCTCTTTTATCGTCCTACTCGGCTTCGCTACTTTTAATACACAAATGTCATCTTCGTCCGGAATGTGCAATCTTGTCTTCTATCCTTCTTGGGTTTTCTCAAAATCCTCTGAGTTCGTATCGCTGGATTGTTAAAAAACGAAAAAGATGACCAAATTACATTACAATTAACTTTACTGTACAACAAACACTTAACAATACTCGCTAATGCAATAAAAATACTTTAAAATATGGTGCTTATATTGAGACAGTGACTCCTAACATAGTGATTTATTCAAATAAAATTGTTCATTGCTTAAATTCTAATAATTAATATGCCTTGCTTGTGCGGTCAAAAGGTTGATCGAAACCAACCAAAGGTGCTATGTGCGAATTGCAAGGCGTTTTTTCATTTAGACTGTGTTTGTGTTATGCCGGCTGATCTTGACTTTCTACTTTCGGCTGACAAGCCGTTTTTTTGCAAACTTTGCCTGGATGAGCGCCGTAAATCTAATCGCTCGCCTCCACCATCCGCTGCCTCGGCTGAGAACGTTATTAACTCAGCCTCGTCTGACTCTCAAAAATCATTCGGAAGCTCAAACGATCTCAATAACAAGCAGCAAATTACCTTGCTTACAGTGTTTAAAGAAATTGCATCCCTTAGAAGTGAGAATGCCCGTGTGTTATCATTTGTTAATGCTTTGCACGATGATAATAAGCAGCTAATGCAAAAGTTCGATGCCCTGCATGCACAAACTCTTTCACTGCAGACTAAACTAAACAATAGAGATGCTAGCATATCGTTACTTATAGCCCTGACAGACGCATGGTTTATATATTATACTAGCATTCTATACTACATGTCTGTCGTTGTAAACCACAATCATACCATCATACAAAGTGGTTTGAAGCTGGTTCCTATACTACGAAAATGTCATAACCATCGGTGTGTGCAGACGTGCTTTTATTCGCTCTGGTGTTTTTTTATCGTATTTCTTCGCAATGGATAACTTTTGCGGGAAATGTAATAAATCTTTTTCAAGATCTGACGCTAATCTGTTGCCGTGTAATGGATTTTGCAAAAAAACTTTCCACCGTGCGTGCTGTAAAGAAATGTCTGAATATGATATGAATTTGATCAAAACAAAACGTAATTTGCTATATCTTTGTGAAGAGTGTGTCTTTATGCCGGAGAAACTCAGTAAAGCTCTCGATGCAGTTCTTGTGACTCAAAAGCTCAGTGTTGATTTAATTTCAACCGCCTTTGAAACTAAATTTAAAGATTTAGTGAAGCAATTTAATGATCTAAAAGAATTAATAATTTCTTTGCATTCGGAAATCAACAACTCCAATGCAAATAACCTAAAAAACCAGTTTGATGATTTGAAGAAATTTGTTGGTGCTGAGCTAAAAATTCACTCTGTCGGCGAATCGCATAATGCTGTCGCTTCTCAAGTGGCCGAACTTCGTTCGTTGTTGTCTGACGCCACTGCTGTTGCTGCCTCTGCTTCACCTTCCCCCGGTCGAGTTGATGATCAGATTAAAGCTAGTGCTGTAAACGTTCGTTCTTCGGCTGTCTCTGCTGCTCACGCTAATATCGCTCGCCTAAGTTGGGCTCAAGCGGCTGCTGGTTTATCGCCTTCTGCATCCCCATATTCCAATCTGCCTACTCCTGCTAATGGCTGCATTTCGCTGCCTGTTACATGTATGCCGTCGGTCGGTGTCCCGACTAATGCTAGTGCGGGTAGAAAGCAAAACAAAGCCAAAAACAGCAATAATGTTATTATTGCTGATATCTCGTCTTTACCTGCTGACAAATGTATTGTGGGGTTGCCGGCTGCTGAGTGTGGTGCTAGTGCTTCGTACAACAACAATAATTTATGTGCATCGACTGGTGCTGCTGTGGCTCCCGCTGCCCCTCACTCGTTTGGCTCTGAAAGCGTCTTGTCTGAGCGCACATCCTCTCTGAGTGTCAACGTCATCTCTCCCGCTCGCAAAGTTGATTTTGGCGGGATTGCTTCTTCTAGTGGCTCTATTCCTTCTCCTTCGCCTGTCCCAGTGGTAATGCAAGCTACGACGCCTACTTCGAGTGCTGCTGCGACGGCTACTAATACTAATAAATTGCAAACACCCGGTTGGAAAATTGTACCAAATCGTAAACGCAATACTGCAAAACCTTTGCTTATTGGCTCATGCAGCACCAATGAGCTAAGTGTTATTTCAGACTTCAAATGGCTGCATATATCTTCATTCTCGCCTAGTGTAACTGCTGCTGATATTCTGTCGTATGCTTCTAAGGCTGCTAAAATTGATGTAAAGTGGATGGTTTGCTACCCGCTAATAAAGAAAGATTCGGATCTTAGTAAGCTCAGAAGAGTTAACTTCAAATTGGGGATTTTGGATTGTGGCTATGAGAAGCTGCTTAAGGCGGACATTTGGCCCACGAGTGTGTTGATTCGTCCGATTCGTTTTTTTTCAACGAGACGGTGCTCCTCAGAAAGAGGCATAACTAATCCTGTATCAAGAAATACTCCTTCCAAGCAATTAAAAATTTATTATCAGAATGTTTCCGGCCTCCGAACAAAGTCCAAGGCACTTTTTGAAATGAGTTCTCACTCAGATTATGATATTTACATACTGGTTGAGACCTGGCTTAACACAAATTTCTTCGATTCTGTGTTTTTTGATGCCAATTTGTATAACGTTTTTCGCAAAGACCGTGACTATATCAAAACGGGGCTCTCTAGAGGTGGTGGAGTGCTCATTGCAGTTCGGCGAAACTATCGATCGGCGCTCGTCCCTTTGGCGAATGAGGATACCCTGCTGGATCAGCTCTGCGTTTCTGTCAATGGCTTGTCTAAACTTTTCGTATGTGCTTCCTATGTTCCGCCGTCTAGTGCTGAAACTTTATATAAAGCGCATGTGGATAACATTCTTGCCTTAGCTTCTAATAATGAAATTCTTTGTATTGCTGGGGATTTTAACCTGTGTGACATTAACTGGTCTAGTTTGGATATTGGCCGAGTCTTATATCCTTCGAATGTTAATAGCGGCTGTGAATGTTATGTTATTGATAATTTTTTAAGTATTAACCTATTACAAATTAATAATTTTTTCTAATAAGCTATCTAGAATCTTAGACCTTATCTTTATTAGTAATGATTTGAATTTCACACTTAATGAGTGCCTTGACCCACTATCGACTCCCGGCCTACATCATGTTCCGCTTATTCTTCATTTAGAGTTTTATGAGTTCAGAACTGTTTTATCAGATAGTAGTCCTACTAGCTTCTGCTATAGAAAATGCAACTTTAATGTTGTAAATGATGCGGTTTCATCAGTAGCCTGGGATTCGTTATTTGCGGGTGTTGGTGCTTCGGATTGCTTCGATACTTTTAAGCAAGAAATTAATGTCATATGTGTGGATAATATACCAACAGTGCATAAAAAAAGCTATAAGGTTCCCTGGTATACCAAAGATCTTAAAAAAATTTAAGAATTTGAAAAACAAGTTTTTTAAGAAATTTAAACATTCAAATGCTCAATCTCACAAGGACAAATACTTGCGATACTCCAGAGAGTTTAAGTCGATGAGTAAGATTCTTAAGCGGAATTATGTTCGTAAATTTGAGTCGGAGATAAAATTGAATCCGAAGGCTTTTTGGAGGTATGTCCAGTCTAAGAAATCGTGTTCCAGCATTCCCAGTGATATGTTTTATGATTAAATACATGCTTCTACTCCCTCTGAAGCTGCCAATCTCTTCGCGGACTTCTTTCGCTCTAACTTTGTCATAGATTCGGTTCCTTGTGGAGTTTATCCTCAGAGTGCCCATTCTCCTATCAACTTTGGTTCGCTTGCTATATCAATTGATGATGTTGAGGAGGGTATCCGTCATTCCTGTTGAAGAATTGTTCCGCTTTTGCCTATCCACTTTTTTTAATTTTCAATAAATCGCTTGAACAAGGGGAGTTTATAGATGCTTGGAAGACCACTCTTATCACCCCTGTATTCAAATCTGGCAACAAAAACGATATAAGCAAGTATCGGCCAATAGCCAAATTATCAAAGATATCCAAATTATTTGAGTTTATTGTCAAACAAAAAGTATTTTTTGCTGTCAGTCCTTTAATATCTGTTAATCAGCATGGATTTATGCCTGGAAGGTCCACTGTTACTAACCTTGCTGTTTTTACCGAATCCTGTCTAACTGCCTTTAATAACCGTCTGCAAGTCGATACCGTTTATACGGACTTTTCTAAGGCGTTTGACAAAGTCAGTCACTCAATATTAATTTCAAAATTGGCTAGCATAGGCTTTCATTCAGCTTTTTTATCTTGGGTAGAATCATATCTTTCTTCGCGGATTTGTGTTGTTGTAGTTGACAATGTGTTCTCCTATCCCTTCGACGCCTCCTCTGGTGTTCCTCAGGGGAGCATCTTGGGTCCCCTATTTTTTGTGATCTTCATCAATGATATTTCGAATTGCTTCAACTTTTCTAAATTTTTATTGTATGCGGATGACTTGAAAATCTATTCTACGATTTCTAACACTTCAGACTCTATCAATCTACAGGCCGATCTTGATAACGTGGTTGTTTGGTGCTCCAAAAATAGATTAAATTTAAATATAAAAAAGTGCTTCCATGTCTCCTACTCCAAATCGCGTTCCATTACCCAGACCTCTTATCTCATTGGTGATTCACAGCTTGCCACCATTGGTGAAGTTTCTGACTTAGGGGTAATTTTTGATGCTAGATTTCTCTTTCACAGCCACTTAAATTATACCATTGCTAAGTCCTATTCAATGCTCGCATTCATCCGTCGATTTAGCTCGGACTTCACTGATCCTTATACCATAAAACTATTATACACTACTCTTGTTCGTTCTAAGCTCGAGTACGCTGTCATCATCTGGCGACCATATTATGATTGTCATATCAACAGAATTGAACGTATCCAAAAATCGTTTATTCGTTATGCTCTACGCTCTCTACATTTCGCTGACCCTTTCCCATCTTACACTGCTAGATGCATGCTCATAAACCTTAAATCACTGTACAATAGGAGGATTATTCTTTCTCTTACTTTCGTTTTTGACATTATACGGGGTGCGATTGACGCGCCGTTCTTACTCGAACGCATTACATTTAATATCCCACCAAGAAGCCTTAGGAATCATGACATTTTTTCTCTGGATTTCGTCAGAAATAATTATGTGAATAATGCTCCTATTCGCAGAGCTCTAAACGAGTTTAATTCGCTCTTAAACTCTTCTGCTATCGATTTCTCTTCTACCAAATCTAATTTCAAACTACTTTTAAATAGTATGCTAAAATAGTTATCAATTTATATTTATACTTTGTTTTATCGGATAGTCTATACGAAATGTTTATTTTCTAGATTAAATAAATAAATAAATAAATAAAATGGACGTGGTATAAAGCGAATATACCATGAAACACAGCCAGAGAGTAAAAAAAACTTCACCAAAAATGTGTGGTGAAAATAAACAGAGACAATGCACTAATAGCATGTATGTATGCCATTTTGCTCGCGCTGGTCCAACAGTCTCAATGGACGAGTGATCAGAGCGCTAGAATGTCACTTGAGAGATCCGAGATCGAGTCCTCGCGTAGGAGATTCTTTTTCTTTGTATTATTTAATTTTTTTTTTGTTTTTTATTTTTAAATAAAAATCAGCAGCTAATGCGCTAGAAATGTTGGTGGAATATTTTATTTTCATCAATAAAGAATAATAACAATAATAATATAAATCTGTATCCGTTTTGTACTGCGACCTTTTTGATTTTTAATCAAGTAATCCTTTTTAATGCCGGCTTTGAGGTCAGGGTGTTGATGGAATTAAAACACATGAAATTACATTCCTTCCCAATATATTTCAATCTCCTCCGGAGATCGTCTTCAGGGGCTACAACAATTACACTAGTTTTTTTTATTAACATACAAGAAAAAGCTAACACATCAAAAACATACATAAATACGTACATACATTAATTAAATTTTAGCTCCACGACGTCCGTCTCGTTTGTCGTGCAGTTTAGAACTGATATTACAAGTGTCAAGCAGGTGTTTGTATATGTGGGCGCAGTTTTCTGTGGCTGTTTTGTAGTTTAGTCTCTTGTTTGGTGGTGTGTTAATTATGTGGAGCATTTCTAATGTGAAACGTTTATTATAGTGTTGTTCTTGCTGTAATATGCTCACAGCTTCAAAATCGGGATTGTGTCCGCTCTCTGCACAGTGGGCCGCTAGTGCAG